AGGCACGACGCGGCCACATTCTTCATTCGTTCCCGAAAGTGACAACCCGTCGGAGACGGTTCTGGGTCAATGAGTCCTTGAAGCGGTTTGATCGATGTCGAAAGCGAGGCGGCCAGTACCGGATATTCCTGCCAAGCGGCAAGAAATTTTTATTAATATGCGTCGAGCAAGCTCCTCCTTTATATGATAATCTTTCGAGAAGCGAGTTGAAATGGGAAAGGTCAGGGAGGAGAAGGAAAACGAGGAGATGGGCCGTAACAATCCGCTGCAGATGCGTGCTCTCGGGAAGAAAACGACCTTGAAAAAAAAACTTTTTGTGGAAGCGGAGGACGTTGTGCGAGGTCACGGACATGCGTGTTTGCGGCTCCGATAAGGCTGGGAATCCGTTGCCAGGTTACTTGCCGCACCTGGAATTATCAGCTGGGAGTGAATGAAAAAAAAAAAAAGCGTTGCTGCAGTCGTGAAGCCAGCTATGGTGAATCCCATTTATGTTTTCTGGGACTCCGAATGTTAATGTTTGCTTGGTCTCACGGATCGCTTTCGGGAAAAAGGAAAAAAGGCATTTATCTAAAAAGAAATAATTTATCATTTATTTAAATGAAAGATCGTTCATTAGAATATTGCTTTCCTGTCTTTTTTCTGGCAACTAGCTGTTGAACGATGAACCATCTCTTGAAATTCTTGACGCGCCGATGCAGTTCAGGGGGTTGGATTGATCTGGAGGAAGTGGAAATGGATTTAATGGAAATGACTCAAAATGAGAGGAATTGAGGGGGAAATCCCGTTTCCCCAAATGCTTCCTCGAGCATTGGAAAAGATGATTGCTTATGCATTCGGACGTGAGTCATGAGATGTGTGGCCTCAATTCCATCATTCCGCGGAGCTGGTTAATTTATCGATTGTGCCATTTTTTATCCTTCATGACTCGACTCTTTAAGTCCGACCCCGATGCGCGGAGGGATGTGCAACGAATGCTGATGTTCTTTGGATGTGCAATGAGTGACTCGGGATGTTCTTTGGACGTGTTGCAGTGTGAACGTGGGTTGCTTTCCAGCCGAGGAGCGGGAACTCCTCACGGGACTCCACGCGGTCGCCGACATCTACTGTCAATGCTGCAAGACCGTCCTCGGCTGGAAATACGTAAGCGCCGCGGTTTTCCGATTTTGCCGCGAGTTTCTGACTCGGCCGCTCGTGGGGCGGCGGGACGTTCACCGTTTTCCTTCCGCTTCTCCTAGGAGCACGCCTACGAATCGAGTCAGAAGTACAAAGAGGGGAAGTACATAATCGAGCTGGCGCACATGATCAAGGAGAACGGCTGGGACTGACCCGAGAACATTCCCCTGTGATACGAGAAAGAGGGAGGGAGGGAGGAGGGAGGGAGGGAGGAGGGAGGGAGGACGGTGTCCGCTCTGATCCTTCGACTGTGATGGGGACGAACCGCGTGCGGTGGCGAGACGGGGAGACGTGCCTGCCGTAGCCCTCCATACTCAGGAGACCGAGAGAGATCCACAAATTTTACTCTTGTATTTTGTGCTACTTTTGGACGTGGACGCGGTCGGGGGCCTCGACCGCCGAGTGTCTTTCTTCAGTCGTCGAGTGTCTTTCTCTGTCGTCAACCCTTTCGCGACTTCGTTCTCTTTTTTTTTCTCGGCTCCGTCTCGGCAGGATGGAAGGACGTAGTTGTGATTCTCATAGTTAGTGAGTATTTTTCTCGTGATCTCTGCTGCTGTACTTATCGGCGACGGGCGGACGCTGCGGGCAACGTGGGCACTGCCGACACCGTGGGGACACGCGACACGTGCTCGGGCCGAGGACAGCGGTGTCTTTTTTTTTTAAATTTAGTTTTAGTCTAGTCTTTCATCCGTCGTGGTGAGAAAAGTCTTTCTCGTATCAGGCTTCTACTACTTTTTCGTCGTGGTTTCCTGTTTGAGCCACTGCGGGGACCAAGACGAGGTGGTTTTCGCGAGGCGATTTTTCGCCGGGAGTCATCGCGATCAGCAGGAATCTTTTTCTTGTCTTTTGTGATACGACACCTTGAATTCGGACGCCTGGAATCGGGACGCCTGGGATTCGGACACGTCTGTTCATCGTCGTCGTTCGCCTGGAATTTTCGTCGCTTCGTCGTCGCATGGTCGTCGCGTTCCGTCGCCGTTTCCGGTAGTGTCGCGAGTGATGTAGGAAAGGGACGTGAAATGGATGCATGTCTGTGATGAGATGAGATGAGATGAGAGGAGTGATGAGGCTCATCATCCTCTATTTATTCGATGGGCTTTTTTTTTTTCTTTGTTCGTTTCACTTCCCGGTTGTAATTCTCGACTGTCCTTTCTATGTGAAGAGAAATGTCACGTGTCCAGGTTTTCCACAATAAACCAGACTGCTTGACTAAAACTTTATATCTCGTCGTGCCACTGTTTTTTTTTTGTTATTTATTTTCCCGTTATTTTATCTAGGGAAAGGTGACGGCGTGTCTCGATGGTGTTTCTTCCCGCTTGGTTGACCGAGAGTCGCACGACTCGCGAGATCGATATCAATTACGAACCGACCCGACCCAAGTACCGATACGATCAACAAAAAAAAAGGGAGAAGCAAGAGTCGTAAAGATCTCGCCATGCATATAGAAATCCGTTTGCAACATCCGTTCCCGCGTTGGGCAATCGGGGAGAGGTTCCCCCTCATATATTTCTTTTCAGAGGGAACGACGTTCCCCCATTTTTCTTTGGCGTTCCCGCGAGCCCATCGAGTCTCGCTGGGCAATTTTTTACTCTCGAGAGTGAGATTAGTACTTTCGTTAAGTTATGCGAATTTCTGCAGTCCAAAAAATTTAGGAAAAAATAAAATTTTTTGAATAATTGAATTTCGGGCCAATCGATGCAAAATTCCCGAAGACGGCGACGAATGGATATTGCAAACTCGAATGTGAGGAGACGATACAAATAATCGTGGAAAAACGACGTCATTTGCCCAAATCTGCAATTTCGACCAAAAATTTTAATTCAAACGGGAAAATTTGTATATGAAATTGCACTTCGTGAGGATCGAACCATTCGGCGCGAAGACGTGTCAACGTTGACAAAAGGTTGAAGTGAAGATCGACGAAATTCTGGCTATTCATAATTAACCGAATTTTAAGCTCAAAGAGGTTACTTACGGATCTATCCGCATCGTCTCGACGATGGGATCGACCGAAGGGTGTTTTTCGCCCAGCGCCCGACCGTTTCCCGCCCGCGACTCCGGGGGAGGCTTCGGAGTCGGAGGAGGTCGAAGGAGACGCGCCCTCCCTCGCCACACGGCGTACATGCCGACTCCTGTATCTCTTTCGAGGATGACAGTCGGCCTGCGAGGGTGTGTCTGGCTCTTCTCCCGAGAGGGTGGCTGAATCTGGGGATGATGCCAGGCACGTAGCTCCTCTGCTCCACGGAATCGGTCCTGTCCTTCGAGTACTCGACTCCGACTCCGGTGAAGAAAGTGACGACTTCGAAAGGGATCACGGTACTCGCTCGTACTCACTAGTAGTACTCACCAGAGTACTTTCAAGCTCCTATCGAGAATAGCGCATTTTCAATCTCAGGAAAAGGAGGAGGTGTCATTGACGATTCAACGCTGGCACAAGGTGACACATCGACGTATTTTCAACGTCGAGTCGTGTTTTCAACATCGAATATACACACTTTTACCCACCGTTGTGGCAACGTTGCTACGCTGAAGAATCAATCCTCACTCAGCGTTGACCCGACGTTGGCCTGTTGAAAACAGGCCGCAGAACGAGGAATGATCAATACTTCGCTCGATTGCAGGGGAATCCTGCAACCGAGAACCGAGCCCCGTCCGCAAGTTTCAAGTTTTCCATCGATTCCTCGTTCTGGAAACCCGTACGACGAGATGCTTCAGAGAAAGATTATTGTCGTGATCGGCAGATTTGAACAGATTTTCTGCTTTCTTCGAGCATAACACTTGTTTTACTGAAACAAAAAATCATTAGACTTCGATGTTTGTTAATTTTCCCGAGAAACTTTATTTTCGCACTTAGATGGCGTGCCAGTCGTTGCAGAATGTAGAACTCAAACCGGCCGCCGCTCTGTTACCGAGGAAAAAGTTCTCCATGGGAACTCGGTAACGAAGTGAAAAATAGCTGATAACGAAATCACTCGACGAAACGATTCACTCTTACAGCCGGTGTACGTGCAAGTTCATCGCATGTGCATCGCAGGTGCAACTCGCATGTGCAGGTCTCTTCTCGGTACCTCTCGGGAGAGTGCCAGCCCTCTCGCTCGCTACTATCAAAATAGACAAGAACTCAAATTTCCTGGAAGAACAGACACAAGGAAAGGATTCCTCGGCCACTTCTCTTGCTCGTGCTCGAGCACCCGTACTCGCTCTCCCGCAGATACAAAGCATGGGGGAAAAAATCGAGGGAAATGCCCTTCGTCGTTCACCGTTGAGATGAAGATCTGTGCCGGGTCAACAGAGTTCACAATTTCCCTTTTCTTCCTTACTCTTTGTCAGTGTCGTAGCGACCTCAGCCCCCCCAATTCTGAACGAAATTCTAGCCTGCCCCTCCCCCCCCCCCTTGAAGAAATCCTGGCTACGCCACTGTTCTTCGTGAGGAGTAATTATGCTTGTAACTTATTACTTTCCGCATGGCATGGTGTTAATTGCAACGAGTTACTTTTAGCGGGTAATTTGTTTAGCACTGACCTCCAAATGGACTCTGCTTAAGACTGACAGGCAACATATGGATGTGATCCATACAAAACCTTAGCGGTCCCTCTGCAATGAGTATCTTCAATATGTATCAATGTGGAGTGAGTCACTCGGCCCGCTTAAGGTAATTGTTTAAAGAAAAACAAAGGAGTTTCAAACCGAGGAGAGAAAGAGAGTTTGGTACTCTAAAAACTGCGGATTGCATGGCAACCCTGTCAGCTTCCGTTGGCATGGTGCCACTCTTTCTCTTACGAGGCGCGCTGCTCCATTTCAAGTTCTAGAGTGATTCCAACGTGATAATGTCTTGTGCCTCTGTCATACCGTGAACCTCACCTTAAAGCTACCTTTCTCATCATCTGTATATTAGAATTTATTGAGAGCACTAGCCCAACCGGAGGTTGGAACGTCCGCCGTTAAGCCTGGTGAATGACTGGCCTAGCCTAACGTCTCATCGGTAATGGTTAATCGCGTTCCCCCCCGAGAAAGCTCGTACCCCCTAAGGAAGGCTCGTACCCCCTAAAGCAAGCGCGTACCCCCTAAAGAAGGTTCGTACCACCCAAAGCAAGCGCGTACCCCCCG